TTCGTCATCGTCCGAATTCCATCCAGGTCCTGCGATCCAACGGTGAGCCTGGAGTCAAGACGCAAGGCTCCTGCCTGTCGGCCATTCGTTGGGATCCTCGTAGACATTGTTGGTGTCAGGATTCCATACGCGCTGGAAAGGAGCTACTTCCGAATGCGGAGCAGTGTACAGGACGCTCTTTTCAGCACTCTAGTTGACCAGAAGATGTCAGGAGGGAGCAACGAGGCGACAGATCAGTGAGAGGAGGAGGAGGAGGAGAAGGATTCATCCCCACATGTTCTTGCTGATCTCCCACGTATGTACCTGATAATCTGTGAGAGATTGAAAGAGGACAAGGTAAGGAGGATAACCTCTTGGTTTGATTCTTCCAGCAGCTGGCTAGTGAGCTGAGTGCTCTGGTTCTCGTCTCCCCACAGCTGAGAAAGTTTCACTTCCTCGTCATACCATGATCTCCCTGACTCTCCTCTCCCCCTCACCCTCTGAGCCCCCTGTGCACCTTCTCCCCATTTCCTTCCTCCCACCTCCCTCCCTTCCTGTCTCCAATTTCTGCTCCCGTCACCTAAACCCTGACTCTGGCTTTCTCTCACCATCCCTTCCCATCCTGCTCCTCCCAGCATCTCCTACTTACCCGGCGCTTGAGCGTCAGAGATCGTCGGAAGTACTCGCGAGCTTTTTCCCATTGTGACATCGTCTTGTACACCTGACGGGGACCAAGAGTGAGGGAAATGGGGTAGGGACAGAGAGAAGACGAGTGCAGGAGGGCAACAGAGGAAGGAAACTAACAGTCAAACGTAACAAGAGAAAGTGAAGGGAAGAGATTGGAAGAAATCGACTGTGGTGCGTTGGAAATAGGCAGTCGTACACACATGCTTACCGTGCCAATGGCAAACGTCATGGCAGCCACTTCCTCGTCATCCTTTGAGAACTCTTCCCAGTAGCTCAGAGCTCTCTCGTAGTACTCTAGCGCCTGCGGGAGGACTTCAACTTCCTCCCCATCCCAGATACCATCATCTTCATCTTTTTTCCTCCTCTCCTTCCTCCTCTTCTTCCTCTTTCTCTCATAAACTCTCAAACAAATCAGCCCAAAAGCTTCAATCGCCACCACCGCCTCCTCTCTCCCACACTTCTACGTGGCTCACCCTGTCCATGTCGTAGTAAGAGTGGAATATGCTTCCTTTCCTCCACAGCGACATCTTCTCCTCTTGCCTCTTGGTCACCTCTGGATCCTCGTCAGCTTCACGCTCCTGCTTCTGCTCATCTCACGTCAGCGACAGCTCGCAAGCATATAACTCTTGACTGACCATCTTGTTCTGCATGCGCAGCAACGAGATCTCCTGATCAAACATTGTCGTCCCTTGCTCCTCTTCCGATTCTGACTCGCGCTCCAGCAACAATCCCGGCATGTCATTCCGCATAGCAAAGTAGGCGTCCCCCATCTCAATCCCCTCCACCCCTGGGTCCGTCACGTTAGAGGAGGGGACCCCTTCCCCTCCTACCGCGTTCTCCTCCTTGGCCTTCACCCGTTTCATCATCTTGAGCTTTTTCAGCGCCTCCTCGTCCACCTCAGGCGCATCGCTGACGGATTCGTAGTACACCTCGTCGTCCTTTCCAAAGCTCAAGTCCTCCTCCTCCTCCTCCTCCTCCTCCTCCCCCTCCTCATCTCCTCCATCCTCTGTTCTATTTTTTGGCGGTTTGGTGGTTTTCGCTGGCCCCACAAACTCATCTTGGGAGAAGTTCCTCTTCTTGAGATCCTCTATGACCTTGAGCATGAGCTCGCCCTCATGATCCAGATTCCCATCATCCTCGAACTCTCGATCCTCCTCCTCCTCCTCCTCCCCAGTGCTCACAGAGGACTTCAATGCGTCAGACTCCTCCCCCGCTCTCTTTCCTTCTCTCCAGGTCTTCCTGGGGTCCACCTCCTGCATCTTGCCTCCTCCTAGCTCAATGTACACTGACTCCTTCTGTGCCGTCTGATTCTTCCCCTTCTTCGGGACGATCTCGTCCACTGGCTCGTACTCAGAATCCACATCTCGAAAGCCACGGATCCTCTCCTGGATAAGGTCCTCCACCTGATCTTCATTCTCTATCTGTTCCTCGCTCTCAACTTTCTTCTCCTTGGCTATCTGCTCTGCCAAGTCCTCCTCCTCCTCCTCCTCCTCCTCCTCCTTCACCTCCTCCTTCCCTTCCTCATTGTCCTCATCGAGTTGCAGATCCCCCCACTGGGAAGAGTTGTCGTTCGACTTTCGGTCTGACGACGACTCAAGCTCATGCTCTTCCTCTAGCTCCGCAAAACCCTTCATCATCTCTGCCTCATCCTCCTGCCCTGCATTCAGCGATTTCTCCGTCAAGACCTCGTTGCTTGGGTTCTGCTCTCCTTCCGACGACAGCCCTTCCTTCTTCCAACCCTCTTCCAGCACCTTCTCCCAGTCCAGCTCCGAGTCCTCCGTCAGGTTTGCAGAGCCTCCTCGCAGCTGCAGCGGTCGGACGCCCCTCCTGGCCATGGCGGATGCACAAGAGCAAGGACTCATGGCCCGCGGCTCTGACAGCAGTGCTCCCGCTCTCAACGACTGGACTGGTGGATCGGCTCCTATGTTGTCGCCTTGCAGGAAGAGCACGAGGGCCAGCAGGACAAGGCTGCTGCAGACACGCATGCGGCGGCGCTCTCCTGACATGCTCATACCTGTGGTTAGCAATGTTGATGACTGGTAGGCTGGTCTCTGGACATGTCCTGCGAACCGGGCCTCCTTCGGCACAGACTCAGTGGAAAGGAGGGCGAATGCAGTCCGCCATGGCCGAACGTTTCTGTGCAGCATGTAAGAGCAGAGTCCTCAGTGTGAAGCAAGAAGATCTGGCAACATATCTTTCATGCTCCAATGAATGCGCAACTCTGTCGCTCCCTACCTTCCTCCGTCGCTCCCTCCCATCGTTCCTCTGCCTCCACCTCTGACTCCGTTTCTCTCTCTCCCTTCCTCTGCAACCCTATCTTCTCATCTTCGTAACATTCTTTCTCCCGCTTCAGGCGATCCCCCACCTCAGTTTCTGCCGCCTAACTTGGTTATGAGCGTGTCCTATCAGATTTACACCCGTCTCTGGATTAGGCATCTGCTTGAAGACTTCATCTCTTTCTCCTTGTTTCACATCTGCATCTTCCTTCTTTCCCTACCAAACTCTCTTCCCCTCCTTCCCCTCCTCCTCTTCATTAGCCGCATCCACCAGGATCATTTCTTCCGTGGGTGGGTCCAACAAAGGGGAGGGTACGGGTAGTTTGGAGTAGGGGTGATATCCGTCTCGAACTAGTATATTTGGTGGGTAGGGGTCATCTGTTGATGGGGTGAAGGACAGGGTTCCAGGTATTTGTAACTACCGCAACCTAACGATAAATAACGGATCATTGTGAGAGTAACCGTTTTATTTCCTGTTTTAGCAGAGCCCCACCCCCTGCCCTAGGTTTGATATCACCCCACCCATAACGTTTGAGTACCTTGGCTCTTCGTGGCTACCCCCTATTATTCAACCCTGAGGGTTTTTGTCCATGGGGGTAGGCAATCATTTTGCTGATGAGTTGGCTCACACAGTGTTCAAAACAATTTACTAAATTTCATAATAATACTACATAGGTTTCCAAAAATATCCCCTACAATCGCCAACTTTCGTATCGAAAGTCTTTGTACTACCCTACCTAGCCGATTCGAGATCTTATTTGGACTCCGGTCTTTTCTGTACCCAATGCACCCACCCACCCCCGTGTAGAAGGAACCTACCCACTGAAATCGCAATTCCGCAAAGGAACCATGTCCCTTGGCTAACGCCAGCTTCCCCACGACCATGCGCTGCGCATACTCCCTTCACTCAAGAACTTTTCTTTACCGCATATTCCCTTCACTCAAGAACTTTTCTTTACCGCATATTCCCTTCACTCAAGAACTTTTCTTTACCGCATATTCCCATCACTCAAGAACTTTTCTTTACCGCATATTCCCATCACTAAAGAACTTTTCTTTACCGCATATTCCCATCACTCAAGAACTTTTCATTACCTCTCCTCCGCATATTACCTTCACTTCCCATCCTTGCTTGACTCTTTTGGTTTCCATTTGCCTACTCCACCCGCTCTCGCGTCACCTGATCTCATTTCAACATTATGTTCATCAACCAACAAGAACAACAACAACAACAACAACAGCAACAACAACAACAACAACACCTTCTACTGCATCTGCATCTAACTGCAACTGCAGCTGCATCTGTTGGTTTATAACGGACTTCAACAAATGAACCATTACAACAAAATTTTCATCACAATCTTCATTCTTTTTCTGAACCTCAACATCATCATTATCCCATTTCCTGACTTCGTGCACAATCATTCCGTTTGATGCTGCTTTAATCATCATCGTTTTCATCCATATCATTTGGTTGTCGAATTTACAGATTGCTAAGAAAGCTTGAGAATTGCATAGGTGAAATGTTGCGGTGCCGGATAGAATCGAATTGCAATTCGTTCGAAAGGAGCCATGACTTCTCGAGTGTTGCTGCTTTAAATGAAAACGTCAGGGAGAACAGGAAACGTAGTAGGGCAGGAAATGCGTCGCTGGCTGTGCAAGGACTTTTGTTGAGCGAACACAGTACTGAGATGGATTTATACACATGCGATCACTAGCTAGGGAAGAAGAATAGTGCTCTTAGAAGAATAGTGCTTTACTCAATTGCTGCTTTCTATTTTACTTCTCCACCTGCTGCATGTCTATAGATGATACAAGAGTCAGCTTCGAGTCAAGGCGTCAGTGCTAGAAATTCATTTGACGTTGCAGTGTGCAATCGCTGCGAACTTTCTATCTTCTGACGGGTCTTGCTTGCAGTTCCGTTTCCTGATCGTATGAGAATGTTCTCGGAACTTCATGTAAGCTCTCGTCCCCTTGATGCAGCTTCGCCCATGTTCTTGGCTTACCCACGCTCTCATCCTCTCCTCCTCATCCTCTATCTTTCCTATATCCTCATCCTATATCCTCAATTCCTAGCCCTATGCTGCGTGTTCACTCTTTCCATGGATTGAAATATGGTGAACCTTACAGGACCTGAGCTACCAGAACAGCTGGAGCTGGTTCTTGAAGCCAAGAGCCCAGGCCAAGGAGAAGAAATTGTTGGAGAATTTTCACGCAGCTGGTTTTCCCCTTCCAAAGGGCTTCCAGGACAGCAAGGGAAAATGAACAAGGACATGGTGAACGTGGGAGGGCTTAGTGTTGGGGGTCGCTAGCACGTGCTCGGAACCATGTTATTCGTCGTGAAGGCGGCGGTCTCTTGCTGCATGCATCGTTGATGTGCGAGGCATGTGGGCATGCAAGCTTTCATTTCTTGCGGTGGAAGTGCGGAAAACAGATGTATGTCAGTAAACAAAGATTACATTGGAAGTCTAGTGGTTTTGCTCTAGCTGCATGCACGGATTGATAGGCCGCGCTTGTCCACGCCGATTTCTTCGAGCATGAAAACATGACTACACCTCAATCACTTTCGCAAAAGATTCCGCAGTACATTTTTCCTGCAACAAATGAGTTTTCTTCAACACTATCCACTTCGTAGCTTGTCAAATCATTTTTTCATCCTCCAGTGGAGACACGTTGATCAGGCACTTTGGCCCGGGGAAGAGGGTAATCTTCCAGGTGGGAACGATGGGCGGACAGTTCTCCGAGACCTCGAAGCGAAAGTTCTGCACCAGCAGCGCCAGCACAGCCATGAACTCTTTCTCTGCGAAGTTCCTCCCAATGCACTGCCGAGCTCCTGCCAGGAAGGGAATCCAAGAGAAGGGGTGCTTGTCGTCCTTGGTGGGAGACGCCTGGAGCCATCGCTCTGGCCAGAAGTCATCCGGACGATCCCAAAGCTCCAAGGAGCGTCCTAGGAGGAATGGGGAGACTACCATGATCGTACCCTTGTCAACTTGATTGCCTTGGATCACCTCGTCTTTGGTGGTCGTTCGGAAGGTGATGGGGGCAGGGGGGTAGAGTCGGAGGACCTCTTTCATGACCGCAAAGAGGTAGGGGAGGTGCTTGTCGCTGAGCTCATGCACAGCCGGGCACCGCCCTTGCAGCTTGCCCGACAGCTCCGCACGGAGCTTCTCCTGATTCTCCCGGTGGCCCGCCAAGAGGTAGATCGCCCAGGAGAGCGCGTTGCCAGTCGTCTCGTGCCCAGCAACCATGAAGGTCTGCACGTTAAAGATCAGTTCCTCCTCCGACAGCCTCCTGTCTGGGTCCTGGTTGTCCGTAGCATCGATCAGCAGCCCCAGAAGGTCCTTGCAGTTACCCCCTTGAGCCATCCGCTCCCTCACGATCTTCTTGACGGTGGACCGAAGGACTTTCTCAGCTTGTCGCTCCCGGTAGTAGCTGGGGAGGTCGAGCATGTACAGGAGAGGGTAAGTCCTGCAGAAGAACATCCACAGCGAGCTCCCAGCCGTCGGGGTCAACTCAAGATAAGCCTGCCGGAGCTCCGAGTTGTTTCCCTCGATAGCATTGAAGTCATAGCCGAAGGCCGCCAGCCCGATGATGTCCAGAGTGAGGCAGGACATCTCGGACTTGAGATCGATCTCGTGCACCTTGTTGCTCTGCAACGACACCTGCCGCTTCCACCTGCGGATGATGCGCTCCGTCGAGGAGGTGAAGATGGGATACAAGTTCTTGAGAGCGTCGAAGTGGAACGCCTCGCTGATGATCTTCCGATGCCTCACATGGTCATCGCCATCCACTGTCAGCAGACCATTCCCGACGATCTTGCGCAGTAGCCGGATCTCAGTCTGAGGCTTGTGAAAGTCGCGGGGGTTGGAGATGAGAACGCGCTTGAGAGATTCGACGTCGGTGATCACCAGCCTGTAGCTGATCCCGATCAGGCGATAGCAGAACACGCTGCCGTACTCCCTCGACCATCGTAGCAGCGTACCGCAGACATCATGGCGGGCCTCCGGCAGGCTGCCAAGAATCAAGCTCTTGCCCCTCGGCCCCTTGAACTTGCTCATGGTGCAGATCGTGCGGTACCATCTCCCTACTCGAAGGACGAACTTGATCGAAAGGAATGAGAGGAGCGCCCTCGTGCCATATCTGGTCAGCAGACGAGCCAAGCTCTGGTCCACGTGCTGAAGCATCGGGGCAGCCCTCAGTCGAGGAGTCGCTGCTACGAAAACGTCATACAGGGAAGCAGGCGGGGGGCGGTTAGAACAAGGTTCACTGCTTCCTACCACCAAACTACCAGTGCAGTTCCAGATCTATCCTCTCGGCACTATATTCACAGCATTTTTCACTCTGTGCTAAACACGTTTCCTCTCTAGTCATCCAACAAAGTGAAAAGCGTGTATGGAAGATTCCTTGCATTCCCGCCTCCCTGCCTTCTCCAGTACCGCATGCAATATCCAGGCGTTGCGTCCTCCTCCATGCATCGCACTCTGTCCTCCTTATCCCTCGTATACTCTCCCTGCAGTCCTCTCTTCGCTCTCCTCCTCCCCCCCACATCCGATAGATGCATTGCATATCCTTCCAGTTTGTCGAGGGCGTGACAGAGGCATGCCCTCTTCCCCGCTCTTTATTTACGTGTCGGGCGCAAAATCCAACCTGGCGCAACTCAGCGACGTAACGATGGCGCGGGCAGCAGCAGCGCGCATGGCAGTCTGCGTGACCTTCGCGTCCCTCCCCACAGGGATCTCATCCTTTCGTTCTCTGGCCTCCAGAAGGTTCTGGTCTCCCCGCCATGCCACGCTCCTGTCCTCCCTCTCTTCTTACCCATCTTTCCGTTCCTTCAGTACTGCTTTCTCGCTCGCCCCCGTACAAGCCAGCTTCCGTACCCTGCGATCTGCGTTCTATTGTCCTGACAGGACAGACAAGTCAGGTAGCAATCATTCATCAAGCTTCTTGCTTCGCAAACGTTCTTGTGATGATAGCTTTCAGTTGTATCCTGTGTGCCAAGTACGCAAAAGAGCAGCGCAGGTTCGGCTGCCTTCTTTCCCAGCAGTGTGGGAGGCTCACTTGGTACTAGCCCGCAATCTTGTCATGAGTGTACAGGCCTCAAAGCTGCAGGTTGAGCAGTTTCCTTGCTTGAACGACAACTACGGTACGTTCACTTGTGTAGAAGCTTGCTTGTATGTGAGATAGCGTTGCGACAGGCTATATTATCCACGACCCCTCGTCAGGAAAACTCCCTCAGACCTGATCATCTCTTGATGACATCTTGTGCAGGGCTCACAGCAGCCATCGATACGCCAGAGCTAAAGGTTGTCTTGATCGCTTGAAAAGTTCTCTCCCGTCTGACCTGATGCTGTATATAGCCGTACCTCCATGTCCTGGAAAGAAAGGGGTGGAAGCTTGACTACATATTGAACACGTAAGCCATCTCGTCCTCTCTCCGTTTGCATGCTCTCTGAACGGTTGACCCTGCTCGAATCGGCACCTCCTCAGGCACCATCATTTCGATCACGCAGGTTGCAACCTGGAACTGAAGAAGTCGACAGGGTGCAAGGCAAGTGAAGTATGAGGATGACTTGTAGGGGTGATTGACATACGAAATCAGATCGTTGGACCAAAAGGAGAGAAAGACAAGATTCCTGGTCCTCCGGCCTCCTTGCCTTGCACAAGATTCCGGCTCTAAAACCGTGTCACTCGACAGGAATCGACATCGCTGTTGACCAGGGTGACACATTCGATTTCGGAGCCAAGGTGATTGGTGAAGACCGACTGCTCTGACCTTGACTGTGCGTGGCCGCCGTAGAAAATTCATGTCCTGAATGTGGGGGGCCACACCCATGGGCACATAGCGTACTTCCTTCCGGAGGAGAAGTAAGTTGTGAATGTGCAGGCTGCACTGATTGTTTCTCTCGCTCGCTCGCTCGCTCGCTCGCTCCATCTCTCTCTCTCTCTCTCTCTCTCTCTCTCTCTCTCTCTCTCTCTCTCTCTCTCTCTCTCTCTCTCT